ACTTTGGAATTCTCCCTGCTCAGAGGCCAGGACTATGCCATTATCACTCCCCAGTTTACAGATGAGGAAACTGAAGTTCAAGGAGGCCACACATCCCTTTAGTGATGGAGGGGAGATTTGAACCCAGGTAGGTGGACTCTGTTTACCTCCTATGCTGACCTTTTGATTTTAAAAAGCTGAATAAATGAAGGAATAAAGATAGCAAAGGCCCAGGGAAGTAATATGGTGAAGGACACACAGGACCAGACGCCCTGTCCAGTGCTCTTTCCAGGCAGTGCAGCCCGCTGACCCAGGGGAAGATGCTAAGGGGAAAGGGGGTCCCCTAGGCCAGGCCTCCCCCCACTTCTGGCTGGCCTGCCCGACACCCCCACCCGGGTGGCTCACCCCGGAACTCCTCGTCAGTCAAGCGCTTCTTGTGGGTCAGCAGGTAGGGGAGCAGCCCGTCCAGGTCGGCAGTAGAGCCCCGGGACACGATGTCGAAGAGGATGGGCCGGTTGAAGACTTTGAGGATGGGGGGCGGCTGGGGTGCAGGAGCTTTGGGGCTCTGCGGCTGCTTCCTAGAGTGGGGAAGGCAGGGTCATGGGAGGGCTTGTCCCCCGTCCACTCCACCATCCCTGGGGGGAAGCTAGAGCCCTAGGGACAGACCAGACTGAGAGGGGAGGGACAGCTGGACACACAAAGGAATGTTTTATCCAACACACTCTACCCAGTACCTACTGTGTTTTGGGTGGAGAAAGACAGAAACACACAAGCCTGCCTATCCATCTGTCCATCCATCCATCCTTCCTTCCATTTGTCACTGACTGAATACTTCCTAAGCCAAAGGGAGACTGAAGGAGACAAAGACAGTGAGAAAATAAAGGAACACCAGACAAAGAAAAGCCGCTCATTCATTTTTTCAAGCCCTCGCTCATTAACTTACTCATTCAACGAACATTTGAGACAAATGAGGCCGCGCACGTAGGTGCCTCGTTTGAGGCCCACCACACAGTAAATATTAGCTAATACTACTGTTATTATTTAGCGCCTGGTGCATACAGAGGCGCAGTAAGAAAGGCAGGCAGAGACTTGGAGGGAGAAGAGGAGGGAGGAGGGGAGCAGACCAGACCGGGAGGGGAGACCGAGGCCTGGGCAGGCTGTGGGCAGTGGCAGTGGGCAGTGGCCATGGGGCAGGGAGAGTCCTGGCCGGACAGCCCTCCGGTGGTGGGTGGCAGGGAAGGGGAAGGAGATGCTCTTCTGATGATGGGGGCACAGAGACTAGCACAGCCTCTCATGGCACCTGTGCAGCCCCCATTTTATCTGCTCCTGAACTTTGACCTTAGAGCCCAAATATGAAATGGAAAAAACACCCTTGCCCCCAGACCTTACTGAGAGGGGTGTCTAAGGATTTTCATGGGTGGAAGGCTGGACAATAGATGACAGATGAGCAGGTGTGTAGATAGATATTTGAATAAGTGCTGATGGACAGGTGGACTGGATAAATGGATGGACAGGCAGAAAGATGGGTAGCTGGGTGAATGGGTGAGCAGCTGACGAAGGAAAGAGTTGAGGAAAGAAAGGGGCTGGTTTCCAAGTCAAGGTCATTCAGGGCACGTTAGAAGCAGCAGGGTCCAGACCTAGAAAGGAACTGCAGGAGCAGAGGCCCCACTCCCCCCACCAATTGCCAAAAGCTTGGGGAACTCCCTGGACTTCCTAAAGGACCAGGAATGAGGGCTCAGCCTCCTAAGGCAGTGGCTCTGCAGGTGACAGACACCAGGGGCATGCTGCAAACAGAACCCTGGGAGCCCAGGTTTGCAGAATGCCACACCAACCACAGGGAGGCGCCAGGCTAATGCCCAGGAATGGAGGTGACACTTGGAGAAGACCCAGGAGGGGCAGCTGGGGGAGAGTGTCAGCAGAAGGTAGACGGATGGGCGGATGGATGGATGGATGGACGGACAGATAAGAAAATGAATGAAAACATGAATGAGTGAATGGACAAATGAGTGGACAGATAGTTGGGTAAATGAATTGAT